GGGCGGGGTCCCAGGGGATCAACAGGGCAGAGCAAGCAGCTATGGCTGCTCCTCAATCCTGCCCTAAGTGGCCCCGCTTCTCAGTGTCCTGGTAATTGCTGCAAGCACCTCTGTGAGAAAGCCGCCCTTGAGTTCCGACCGATGCCAGGCAGTCTAGCCTCTCCCCTTATGAGTCTGGGTCCCCAGAGACTCGCCCGGAACTGGAGTTCAGAGCAGTCGGGAGCTTGAGACTCCCTCCCGATTGAAAAAGACAACCATGTCCTCAGTTGCCAGCCCTTTCCGCGTGCGCCTCCGTACCTCTGCACTTTACTTCCACACCGCACCTCCTCTGAGTCTCAGTATTCTTTTCTCTTCCCTTCTAGTTGTAGAATTTCCACTCAGCCAGCCTTCCTGTGGTTCTGGATGATGTCTTATCTTTTAGTTGTATTTTTGAAGTGGTTGTGCGAGGCAGCAATTTCCAGTGTTTACCTATGCCGCCATCTTGGTTTCCCTGGACCACAGTTTTTTAAAAGGGGTTTTGTAAAAAAATAAAACCTTTGACATGAGGTGCCACTATTATTACTACCAAAATCAATACAAAGTCTTATTATTAAAGAATAGACCCGAATTATTCTATCTTAATTTTCCGAACATAGCATGAGTTACTAACCTGAAAAATGAAAATGTTAAACATGATTGAGTTTTGTAGTTTTTCTAACAGGTTGTAAAGTATGTAAATAATTTTCTCCCTCAAATTGCTGATTTGCCATTTTAGAGTCATAAATCTCATGGCCCTGGACGTTTTCATGGGTTAGTGTAGTTATTTCTTTTTTTAAAATATATTTTTATTAATTTTTACAGAGAGGAAGGGAGAGGAATAGCAGCTAGAAACATTGATGAGAGAGAAACATCATTCAGCTGCCTCCTGCACACCCCCCACTGGGGATGTGCCCGCAACCAAGGTACATGCCCTTGATCATAATCGAACCTGGGACCTTTCAGTCCATTGGCTGACGCTCTATACACTGAGCCAAACCGGTTAGGGCGTGAAGTTATTTCTTAGATAAAATGCCATAAAGGGAAAACTTTTATAAGGACATTGCTTAGAAATATTTTAAAAAGTCTTCCTCAATATTAATATTTTCACATTAACATATAGTGTTGATCTTTATTTTGAAAAAAGTTTACTAGGTGAAGTATTTGGTCAGAATTAAGGAAGTCCACACTCAAAAGTACTTTAAGATTTTTTAGCAAAATCAATGTCATACCCTGAAACACAGTATTTTGAGCTCGAAGAATAGTTATATAATTAAGATGGTTAATAAACAATTTGAGAGACTCCATTATATTAGTTTTTGAGTTGCATTTTTGTTTTCTGCTTTTGTCATTTAAAATTACTCATTGGATAAATTCTCTAATTTTATGTATGACAGATCTGTGTTAAATGTAACTGATGGATTGTGATCATATCACAGATCTTAACCACCCTTCTCAGTAGAGAAATTATTCTATAATTTCTTATTTTATAAAGTAACTGACAAGGGTCAGTTGCCCTTTATTTTAGTCCTATGGGTTTTTGTTTGTTTTGTTTTCAGCATTTTCTCATTCATACCAGAGGAGAAAAGTTTCATTTTCATTGAGTATTCTTTTTGAAAACTTGCTCCATGTTGAACTGATAAAATGGGTTAAAGATAGAACACATACAAAAAAAGTTAAATTTTGAAAATTTAGGCTTTTGACATTGATTTTAAAGAAAATGTATCAAAGTTTTTTTGTGTTTTTTTTTCCTTCCAGGTTTATGGTTGGCTGTGGAAGATGTGATGACTGGTTTCACGGTGATTGTGTCGGGTTAAGTCTTTCTCAAGCACAGCAAATGGGAGAGGAAGACAAAGAATATGTGTGTGTGAAATGTTGTGCTGAAGAAGATAAAAAGACTGAAGTAACAGATCCAGATATTTTGGAAAACCAAGCTAAAGTTGAAGTCCATACTGAAGATAAAACAATGGACTATGAAAAGCTTGGATTATCAAAGCACACATCAACAAATGACAAAACCAAATGTACAGATGATACAGTGAAGCACAAGGTCAAAATTTTAAAACGGGTGAGCTGCTTGCTAATGTGTTCTGTTATCTTAAGAAATTTGTGTAGGCTGATAATTAGAATTTGAAATTTCTCCTTAGGTTTTATTGTTCTAGTGTACATTTTCAAACTTAACTACACTAATAGAAGAGAAATATGCAAATTGTGTCACTCCACTACACCCATCAGCCAATCAGAGTGACTATGCAAATTAACCCAACAAAGATGGAGATTAATTTGCATATGCAGGCACAGAGCGAAGACTGAAGGCTCCGGCCGGAGTGGAGACTGAAGACTGAAGAGGCTTGGCTTCTCTGCTGCGGCCGGACCAAAGGCCTGGGTTCCGGTGGCGGAGGAAAACAGGTGCCAGCAGCCAGGGGAAGGAAGGCCTATTGCTCAAATCTTCGTGCAATGGGGTTCTAGTCCTATCCCATATAATAAAAGGGTAATATGCAAATAGACTGAACGACAGAACAACTGAACAACCAAAGTGTAATATGCTAATGATATGCTAAGGCTGCTCAACTGTTTGCTGTGATGTGCACTGACCACCAGGGGGCAGTCAACTCATCGACTAGTAGCTATGACATGCACTGACCACTGGGGGACAGATGCTCTGACTGGTATGTTAGCTTGCTGCTGGGAACTGGCCGATCGGGACTGAGTGAGATGGGCCGGACACACCCTGGAGCCTTCCTGCAGTTCCTCCCCGGCCCGATAGTGCACTGGTGGGGTCCCTCAGCCTGGTCTGCACGCTCTCGCAATCCAGGACCCCTCGGGGGATGTCTGAGAGCTGGTTTCAACCCATTCCCGCAGGCCACTCCCATTGGGAGGGCGCCAGTAGCAGGGCTCATGGCTGGCAAGCACTGCTGCAGCAGTGCGAGCCTTTCCTGATCGGGACTTATTGGGTGCGAGCCCACGGCAGGCACAGTGGGGCTGGGATGAGAGGGAGCGGCAGATAGGAGCTGCAGATGGCGTTGGACTGCGGGTTTTGGCCCAATCCCTGCAGGCCACCCAGAGGGACCCCACCCGTGCACAAATTCGTGCACTGGGCCCCTAGTTTTTCTATAAGAGTGGATGGATTTTTATGTAACATACAGATTTTATTTATTTTTGCTATTTCTAATCTCTAGTTTGGTACTTGGATTTTCTGTGTAGGATGTGTGTGTGTGATCTTGTATTATTAACTGTAAATCGTGCTTACTGATAAAATTTCTTTACAAAGCTTTTCAGCCCAGCTGGCGTGGCTCAGTGGTTGAGCATCGACCTATGAACCAGGAGGTCACGGTTTGATTCCTCGTTGAGGCACATGCCCACGTTTTGGGATCGATCCCTTAATGTGGGGCATGCAGGAGGCAGCTGATCAAGGATTCTCTCTCATCATTCTCTCTCATATCTCTCTCCCTTTTTTTCTGAAATGAATAAAAAAATTTAAAGTTTTTCGGTTCGCAAATGTCTATTAATCCTTAAACTATGTTTGGTATTATTATTTCCAAATGGAAGAGTTTTATTTTTTTTCTCTGTAAGGAAAAGTAATCAATTTGTCTTACCTTTGTCCTAGTATTTGCTTGGAACCCTCACCTCATAATTTTTCTTTTAAAATGTGGACTCTTTAAAAAAGTTGTCAGTTTTCCCTCATTATCTTTTTAACTACCTTCTAAAAGTATTTTATAAATAGATATTTAAAGATATTTAGTCAATTACAGGAGCAATGTATAAATTTTCTTTGTCTACCTTTTTACTACTGTTTATTTTTCTAATTGATTCGTCGTTATTATAGATAGCGCTAGGGAGGAAACATAGTGGCAATGAATGTACATGGAGAGTTAAGTATAATCCAAAAGACAATGAACATGAATCATAGAGTCGGAAGGAATCTTGGAAATCTTTTAGTCCTACCATTCAGATTTAAGAGCATGCGCATATTTTCTCCAAAATCCCTATTACTTACAATTTCAGTTCTTTCAGACACTCCTTATATGACAAATCTGGATTAAGTTCCAGTTTGCCAAATCCTTGTATCCACTGTTTTCTGTCTGCCAAGACTTTTTGGAATCAGATTATGTCCTTCTGATATATGCTGTTTCTTTATTGATCTGATTAGCACCAAAGTAATTGATAATACAGAACTGAAAGCTCCATTGAGAAGAATTTATAACACACCTTTGGAAAACTTCTTTTATCATCAACTATTACTCATCACTTCTTGGGTACAATTTCTTGGTCATTTAGAAATATGGCTCATTGTTTTGTCATTTAGCTGAGTTGTCTCCATCTTGTCTAAAATGACATTTAAAAAAACATTAACATTGTAAATGGTTTGAGAAACCCCCCATTTCCAGAAAAAGACCTAGTCTGATTTTGTAAATGCATGTGCTATCCAAGTGATAACTGCTTCCTTTTTGATGAACCGTTGAATCTTATATAGACTTGTCTGCTTTTAGTTTATGAAGTCTGCTCTTTAAAAATCACTTGTTACCCCTAGATTTTTATGTTAAACCATTTATTGAGTTTCTATTGTATGCCAAGCCTGATACTAGACTTTGGTTTATAGCACTGTTTGAAATGTATTCCTGCTCTCAAGTAAATCTATTTGGGGAAGTAGAAAGTAAATAAATAAAATTAGAAGATTCCTAGTCTGGAGAAAATCAGTTTTTGTATGTACTCTATGACTTTATGTCTATATACAGTGTTCTTCTCCATGTTTTTTATTTACTATTTTTTATTTTATTTATTTCAGAGAAGGGAGAGGGAGAGAGAAAAAACAACAACAATGATGAGAGAGAATCATCAATCGACTGCCTCCTTGCATGCACACCCACACCGGGAACCAAGTAGTCAAACTGGGGATATGCCCTGACCAGGAATTGAAACGTGACCTCCTGGTTCACAGGTTGACACTCAACCACTAAGCCATGCAGGCCGGGCTTCCCTGTCTTTTAAACACTAGTGTGATGTGACTGATTTCTCCCAGGGTTGTCAGAATGCCAGTTTCACCACCAGCTGTGGGTTATATTAGGATAAGAATAGCAGGTATCCTGAAGGTTTGTTCTACCTTATGGGAGTTAAAATTGCCACAATTAGTACACCGAGAACTGAACTGATACACTTACTATAGATGGATAGAACTTCATTTGTTTTAGAAAATAGTGAAAAATATAATACCTGTTTCTCCACAATTTTTCCCTCCATTTCCCATATCCACAGGCAACTAAGAGAACTATTTCTATCTTATATCTCTAATTTTCTTTCTAATATTGTTATTGGGAATGTGATCTCTATTTTTTAGTTCTCCTTTATATAAAAGAACTAAATAGTCTAGTATGTGTTCTGTAGAAAACATATGCTTAACAAATGGAATTTGAATGAAAGGGTGATTCTCCTTTTTGCTAATTGAGTTATATTTTGTGCATCTTTAAAAATCCCTTTAAACAGTTACTGGGCCAAAGAATAGAAAATGTTTGATATTGTTATAGGTTGTAATACTAATAAGGTTTAATTTTTTCATCTATATCTCTTGAGACTTGAGTTATATTTAAAGATAGTGTAGAAATTTTAATTCTAGTAATTAAATACTTTTTTTTTTTTCAGGAATCTGGTGAAGGTAAAAACTCATCAGACTGTAGAGATAGTGAAATGAAAAAATGGCAGCTAGCTCCTCTTCGAAAGATGGGACAACCAGTTTTACCTCGGAGATCCTCAGACGAAAAAAGTGAAAAAATACCTAAAGATTCCACAACTGTTATTTGCACAGGGGAAAAAGCTTCAAAACCAGGTAGTGAAATTAATAGAAATTATTATATACTAATGTATTTATATTTTATTTCATATACTATTAGTTAAAATATTTAGGGAAATTAAAAAATTTTCACATTTTAATATTTTGGTGATTAACCTTACTTGAAATTAAAAACCATTACTTTAAATTCTGGGGAAGTACTAATGAATTTAAGGTACAGCTCCTTCCCTCATGGCACTTAAATACCAATGGGAGAAGACAAGAAAATGGTATGCTATTTAACAGAATGTAGACACTATGAAGAAAAGGTAGAGTAATGGGATAGAGAATCACAGTATTTATCAGTGTATAGTAATTTAAAGTCCAAACTTAGATATATACAGATAGAGTTCAGTAATGAAGAGACAGAAGCACAGCCCTTGGAGAGCATCTACATTTAGAAGTTGGGAAGAAGAGACAGTTGGCCTGAGTGAGATAAGAGAAGTAAGAGACCATGGTGGCCTGGAAGCAAGATGAAGTTTGATACAGGAAGAAATAATCAACCATGTCAAATGCTGTCTGGTCTGGACATTTAATAAGATGGACATAGATTAAGTATGTGGTTTAGTGAAATAGAGATTATTGGTAACCTTGATTAGAATGATTTTGGTGGAGCAGTGGGAACAGAAACCAATTGTAGTGGCTTATGGAAGAATGGAAAGTGAGGAACAAGATGATTACAGATAACTCTCAAGGAATTTTGCTTTTAAAGGGAACAGATAGTGTGCTAACTAGAAGTGGATATGGGATCTAGCACTTTTTATTTTATTTTTACTTATTTTTAAAAAATCTTTATTATTGAAGTATTACCTGTGTTCCCTTTTTGTCCCATTGAACTCATAGCCTGCCCCAGAACTTTTTTTTTTTTAAAGGAGATATAGACAGAGCATTAATGGCAATGATCCCGTAGACAGAGAGAATTTGGTGATATAGGAGAGATTATGTGATGGATGAAGTTTAAAAAATCCATGAGATGAGGGGGTGGGATTCACATTGAAGTGTTAGGTCATAAAAAAGGAAGATGGTATATGATAGGGAGGATAGATACAGGTTGATTTAGTTATGGGAAGATGTAATAGCTGACATTTTTCTGTTTTCTCAGTAAAAATATGAAGTGAGAAAATCAAATGAGGTTGAAGGTGAGGAAAAGGGTTGTTGGTTTGAGAAGAGAGGAGAACACGAGTAAAATTGATGTTTTGAAAGTGGGAGAGGAAATTTTCTGAGAAAATTTAACAAGACTAAGGCAATAGATTGAGTTATCTACTTAAGATTTGTGGCTTATAAATTTAAAGTGAGACCTGTCCACAACAGAGCTTATTTTTTTCCAGTTATCTTAAGCTGTTCGTAGGCTATTCGGTGTTGTGATTTTGCCAATGCAGAGGGTTTAAAGGAGAGAGAATAAAGGCATTAAGTATGCAAAGGAGTGGTAATAGTGTTGGACTGTTTAATCAAAGTTGGTTATGTGGGAAAGTGAGGGCATAGACCAGTGATGGAGAACCTTTTGAGCTTGGCGTGTCAGCATTTTGCAAAACCCTAACTTAACTCTGGTGCCGTGTCACATATAGAAATTTTTTGATATTTGCAACCATAGTAAAACAAAGACATATTTTTGATATTTATTTTATATATTTAAATGCTATTTAACAAAGAAAAATCAACCAAAAAATGAGTTCGCGTGTCACCTCTGACACGTGTCATAGGTTCGCCATCACTGGCATAGACGATAAAAAGGATAGGTTTAAGAATGAGGAAGGAGATTTTAGAATAAATAAGTTGGTGTGATAGGAGGTCAGAGTAGTGGAATGTTCGACATTTTTTGGAGATGCACAGGAATTAGTAATGGTGGATTGGGAAATCATTTGAAAAGCTTAACATTCAAATTACAATATCAATCAAGTACGTTTGTTTGTTTTTAAAATATATTTTATTGATTTTTTTACAGAGAGGAAGGGAGAGAGATAGTCAGAAACATCAATGAGAGAGAAACATCGATCAGCGGCCTCCTGCACACCCCGCACTGGGGATGTGCCTGCAACCAAGGTACATGCCCTTGACTGGAATCGAACCTGGGACCTTTCAGTCCGCAGGCCGACGCTCTATCCACTGAGCCAAACCGATTAGGGCCAAGTATGTTTGTTTTAAAACCAGAGGAGATTCATGAATTTTGTGGTAGTAGTAAGATCATTACATTATTTGCTCTCTTAATAAGTTCAGGTCACATTTTCTAAATAGTTTTTTAAAAGTTAATGCATATATGTGAAAAGTAACTAGCTTTAAAAGCCATTATTTAAAATGGAAAAGAGGCTATATCATTTTTTAGCTTTAGGGCCATGTGTTAGTCACTTTAGTTTCTAATTAAAATTTTTTTAAACTTGAGGTATAACTGGCACAGCATTATATAAGTGTTAGCTGTACAGCATAATGATTTAATATTTCTGTATATTATGAAATGATCACCACAGTAAGTCTACTTAACATTTGTCACCATATATAGATTTAGAATGTCAAGAATATTTCAGTATGGAGTAGTTAGAAATAAATAGTCATTTTTTAATCAGTCAGTTTTGTTTATAAATTTACGTCTGTATTAAAAAAATGTTTTTAGAAACAATGTAATGTGTTTTTATATTTATTTAAATTAGGTGCTCATGAGAAGCAAGAGGTAAAAAAGAAGAAGATTGAAAAAGGAGCGCCTAATGTGCATCCTCCTGCTGCCCCTGCTGCCAAGCCCTCTACAGATCAGATCCGACAGAGTGTCAGACACTCTCTCAAAGACATTCTGATGAAAAGGTAACACACATTACTGTTGTGGAAGATTGAATAATACGTGCTTCTTGTATTTGAAAAATAATTAAATTGTTCTAATTTTAAGACTTACAGATTCAAATTTGAAGGTACCAGAGGAAAAGGCAGCAAAAGTTGCCACAAAAATTGAAAAAGAGCTTTTCTCTTTTTTTCGGGACACAGATGCTAAATATAAGAACAAATATAGAAGTTTGATGTTCAACCTGAAAGATCCTAAAAACAATGTAAGTGTGTTTTGTTCATGTTCATAGATACTTATGCTTTCTACTTTACTGAATGCATAAGGATTTAAGATTGTAATACAGTAAATCTATAATTTCTTGGAGTGAGACCATGGAATTTTAATAGTCTTTTGCTTCTGGATTGAATTCTGCTTAGTGGTGACTATTATTATAGAATGAGTCTATTAAAATATAAAATACTAAATCTGTCTTAACTTGATTTATGTGAATTTTCTTTCCTTTATGTTCCTTGTTCAGTCCAATTTGTTAAAAAGAATTCGTATGTATTCTTCAAAAATGATTAAGCTAAAATTAACAATACTATTTAATACTTCTGATTTAAGTCAGAAAATAACTGCATTCCTTAAAATAAATTGCACTTAGATAAAAAAACAACTATTTTAAGACATTTTTATTACATTAAATATGACTTTAGTTCTAAATATCTTTTAGCAGTGGAGTAAACATTCACAATGAAAACTTAACTTTCTTGGGATTTCTTGTTTGTGATTTAGAATCTAAAAGCTGTGTGTGTGTGTGTAGATGCAAATGCCTTGCATATTTGTTTAAATTTGACAAAGCTTTCACATAAGTGATAGCATTTTGTCAGTTTGCATACCTGTATTTGCTATAGTATGTGATTTAAGTATTTTCTTGAAATATTCTAACAGCTACTTAAGAGAATTCTACAATGTAGAATCTCACTTTATGGTGCGGTGGTCGGCAAACTGCGGCTCGCGAGCCACATGCGGCTCTTTGGCCCCTTGAGTGTGGATCTTCCACAAAATACCGACTTCTGTGCATGGGCCACGAAGTTTCAATCGCACTGTACATGCGCGCCCGCACGTGGTATTTTGTGGAAGAGCCACACTC